CGCCGGTCCGCTGGTCCGCTGGTCCGCCGGTCCGCTGGTCCGCTGGTCCGCTGGTCCGCGGTCCGCTGCTCCCCTCCTCTCATGGATGCGCTCGTCCAGTGGTCCGGTCTGCGGTTCCGGTGGTCTATAAAATTGACATGGAAAGATTTTTTTGTTCTTCAGACAGCAAACGTTAGGCAGCGTCTGACAATCAACCTCGTTGGGCCTGCCCTGCAAGCATGATGCGGCGGAACGGAAGCGCCTCACCTATACCTGGGGCTTGAAGCCGAAAATCAGTAACAGAAGTCACCCTCATTGAACTGAAGTGATCATGCTTTGGAATGCCCACCAGAATCTCTGATGTACACCGTGCACCCTGCTTTTTCCAAACTTCAACGCCCCCATCCCTGGCCACCGCTCCTGCTAGTCTTGCACCACAGTGTAGGCGCAAGGTCTGCCTACGCTGCTGTTGTGGCTGACAGGTCTGCAATTAAGGGAGACAAGTTCGGATCTAGATTGTCATGACCAAATTCTGGGAAGGGCTCGGCGGGTGGAATACCTACGGGTGGATTGGTTTCACGCAGGTTTTGCAGGACCCACTTGGCTGCCTGCACCTGAACAACCAAACACCTGCGGATGAGCTCTTTTCACACTTCCTTAGCGACTGTTGTATATCTCCACAACGGCTCACTCCTCATCTCTGGGCCGTTTGCGCCGATCTTCCTGGCGCTTCCTTTCCTGGTTGCTGGATGCTTTCTCCATGGCGGCCACCAGCTCCCGCAAAGTCAGCCCACAAGCCCTCATCAATTCATTGTGGTACTTCACCTTGCCCTGCGCTGTGTCTGGGATCACTTTCAAACACAAAGTCTCACCCTGGAGCTGAAGGATGCTGGAATGCTGCTCTGCGGCTGCCGCCATGACCGCTGTCCATTTCTCTTTCGGAAGCGCTTTGCGGCGGCCCTGCTCCCTGCTGGTGCGCATTTTGTCACACGCTTCTTTGCGAGTCATCTTTGGCTTGCCGGTCAGCAAGGTGTGCTTCAGGATTGCCCGGTCTGTCCAGTGACGGCTGAAGAGACCGTCAGGCTGGACTGTGACGCCATTCTCGCCAAAACCAAAATCACTTGCCCGCACTTCATCAAGAACCAGCGGCTTTTCGCCTGCGGGTGGATCTTGGGGCGGTAGGTCCTCCACGACTTCGGCCACGCTGTCTGGAGGCCTTTCAAGCGAGTTGGGCCCAGGTTCCGCATCTTCTTCTTCAGGTTCAAGTTCAAATTCTTCTTCCTCGCCAGCTTGGGGAAGTCGAAGTCCGGGACCATGCTGGGTCGAAGCAAAATCTTCCGTCTGATAAGGAACACGCAAAGTTGCCAAATCGAAAGCAGGTTGCGGACTTGGCTGCTGGGGAAAATGGTCTGGGCTAGCGGCTGCATCTCCCAAAGCAATATGCTTCAGCTTCTGGACCTGAATTCGCGAATATAGCGCCAACAGCAGATCTTGGGTTTTTGAAAATAAACAAACAAGAAACAAAGTGCCAAGAAACCAATTGGAGCAGAGCATAGGCCCTTTGGCAATGATCTGGAGTGACCTGCAAATCCCTCCGTCCAAGAGCTTCAACACTGTGCGCACCCACAAAGATTTCAAACACCAGGAGCAAAGCCGCCAAAACTCCCACTTGCCACGGAGCGGCTCCAAAGCGAGCGCCGCCCTGAACATCCCCTGATTCGCGAGACAGATGGGCTTGCACATTCATTCCACCTTGGTAGGACATGTGCCAAGACTCCGCCTCCGGAGTGAGGGCAATGACTTGGTGAGGTTGGTCGAAGTAGGCAGTGACTCGGGAGACAGCGGCCGTCAGGGAGCACTCTGCCGGAATGGCAAAGCTTCTGTTGGCAACGCGCCACTGAGCTTCAAACCCAGACGTCGACGCAGGAGAACGTTTGAACCGTAGGCGGCTCATCTTGCCATCCAAGAGCCTCACAGGGTACCCATCTTCTGATGGGACATAGTCGCCCGCTGCATTCTGGGTGAGCTGCACTGCTTTTTCATCTTCAAGGCCAACGTCTTTCCACTCCTGAGCAGCGGCATCTGGCGAAGCAGCCTCTTTGGCTATGCCCAGCAGTTCCGCAATTTCGGCTGTGAGAGGAACCCATCGGTGCCGGGAAACTCCTGCGCTAAGCAAATGCAGCAAAGAATGTGAGCAGATTTTACAGAATCCAAAACGCTTTTAACACAACACCCATCGCGCAGAACACCTGTCCTGGAGGGCAACAGAAATCTGCCGGCATGTCTTCGTGCGGCTGCACAGGCCGGCCAGTGGAGATGACAAACCGTTCTTTGGTGGAAGCTGCGTGGCAACCAACCTCACCTCTTTCCATAGGGATGTATTGCGCAGGGTGCATATTGCAAGTGATCCCCATGCTAACGGTTCTAGCAAGCTTCTCTCCATAGCTCCCATTCGTTTTCGTGGCGCGAGCGCTGGTTCCAAACTGCAAGAGCTTGTTGAAGGCACTCTGGTACGGGTTCACCCTTGCCTTGGCTTTCTCCTTGGATGCAGGCCCATCGGACAAGAGACCCAAGCTGAGCAGGAAGTCGTAGGCCTCATCAAAATTCCCCAGCAAGCCAAACCAGCATCGGCCAGACCAGTCTCCGGGCAACTTGTCAGCATTTCGGACCTGGTTCCAATCGCCCGAGCATCGATGGAACCACTCCTCAGGTGTTGCGCTGGCAACCATTGCGGAGAATAGCTTCGGCTTCAACCTGGCACAAATGGCGGGCTCGTTTTTGGTTAGAATTCAACACCTAAAACTTCCCAGCCCCCTGTTTCAACAGCCCGCTCACACCTGTGCTGCACTGGCGCAGGAGCGCCTTCTTCCACACAATATGTCGCCAGCTTGGACTCCGCGTTCGTCAAGATGACTGCGTCCAACTCCTGCCCACAAGCCTCTGCATGTCCTGTCAAGGATGATTTTCTCGTCTGGGCGTAGTTGACATTAATTGCAACCAACGTCAAAGGCGATGGCGAGGTAGCAAAGACAGCCACTTTGGCACCGTTCACAAGAGCACACATCAGCGACAAGCAGTGGAGGGCGTAAGGAAATTCTGCATGGGCTGCCCTAACAGCGTATGTTTGGCAGAAGCGGTGCCCAGCTTCTCCAAGGATGTAGCTTGGGTCGAAGCACTTGTCCACTTCATCCCACATCAAATTCATGGCAGGGATGTACTGTCTGTCTTCGTGGGCTCCAGACAAGGGCCCCAGAACTGACGACATGGCTTGGCCGCGCCACCGAGCTCAGAGCAGACGCGGCTGTCACGGCCATCATGCAAGGCTTTGTTGGAACACTTTAGTCAGACTTAGTCGAAGCTACGCAAAACAGTTTGGTTTCAAAGCGAGGCATCTGCACATGCGCACTGACAGAGTCATGTACCGCGTGATATGTAGCCGTTTGAAGCAACAGGTCGATGCAATGAGCGGGTACGACACACCATGAATTTTCCATTCCACAGCTTCGATCCAGTCTATAAGGCACAGGCCGCGCTTGAAATCCTAAATCTTAACTTTAGACTGTCAGTCGGTCCCTTCCAATGCCGCAGAGCCGGCGACCTCCTCTGGTCTGTAGCCTCCTTGGAGTATAATTTCATTGTGGCTCCACGCCATATCGAGCAAGAAGAATTGGAAGCCGTGCTTGTTCATGTGCTTGGTTTGGTGCTTGTACTTGCTCAACCAGGTAAAAGTGAATTCACAGACCGAAGTCCGAATGCCTTGAAGAAGAGAAGCGTTTGCAGGCAAGGCTGGGTCGCACGTCTCTTTACACCAAGCATCGGTATGGCCAGCCATGTGGAACTTGTCGCACACGTACTTCATCTCTGGCGGGGCTATCTGGGCAGCAGCTTCTGAATCCTGCGCATGGGCAATATAAAACGTGAAACGCATTCACGCAAGAAACAACAGAACACTAGCACGGTGCTTATAGCTCTCACTGCCCAAAGAATTTCGTGGCTTTGTCATCCCCTTTGAGTTTCCGTCCTGGGCGCGACGAGCCGCGTACTTGTGCAAATGGCAAGCATCATCGTGGACCACCACGCGAAGGGACGGCAAGAGGGCTTTCACAGACGCCAGACATAGGTATCTCTGGCTCAACGACTCACAGCCGTAGATTTCTTGCATGTGCAAAATCAAACCCTCAGACAAACACGCGCACAACATTCCAGCAGATTTGGCAAGCTGCCTTTGAGCAGCGCTGCCTTCCTTGTGTGTGCAGCAAGTCACGCACTGCAAATCTGTTGGGTCGGACGAGCGCCCAATCTCTTGCAACGTTAAACTCGCAAGCATCGAAGGTCCAAGCGATGAGGAAGAGCCGCCTCTGCCGTCTGCCTCCTCTTCTCGCCGTGGGCGTTTGCTGGGTTTCAACTTCGCCTCGCCCACTTGCTGCAAATAGTTGGACAGGACAGACGCTGGAACTGCAGAATCGGATACCCAAGCTTCTCTTTGAGGCTCCACAGTCTCTTTCAGCAAGACCATCAAGCACTGTCCGTCATTGATGAGCTTGTGCTGAAGAATGGTCACTTCCTGAGGCAGAGTGGCTGAAAAAGAAAAACTTTACCCATTTTTGCGGTTGGAAATGCTTTGCCCCCCCGCCTGGAATTGATCATCTTGACTGCAATGGGCGGGACAGAAGCATCTCCGAAAAGCGGGAGTATTGGCACAGTTGTGGCGGACCACCCGGCGCAATTCCTTGGAAAAAGTTTCTCCGGCCAATGAGGCTCCGCAAACAGCTCGACGATTTTTTGCATTGCCATCGAGCACAACAACGTCACAGCGCATCGTGGCTTTTTGGGCTTCCTCCAAGGTAGTCCTGCCAAATTCTCTTTGCAACTGCGGCAAGAATAAGCCAATCATGTCCTCCATGGGCCGCAAGAAATCAAAAGATGCTAGGTCCAAATTGCTTTGGTGCACCCGGGTGAGGAGACGCCAAGCAAACGACCCCTGGCTAATGAGAAGCCGCAATCGAGCTGTTGGTAAGAGATGGAGCTGGGAATTGTAAGCTGCCTGCGCGCCGAGCACATCTGCTTCACTTGTGAAAGACGCATGTTGCCTCACCATGCTTACGTGAAACTGTTGCAACCAGGGGACACTGAAGCCGAAGGTGGCGGACAACATGAAGCAGTTCAACTCAGGCAGCTCTCCTGCAAAATGATGGCACCCACTCCGCACGGTATAGTTGTACCACAGCAGCACACCACAGTCTGGACAGGAGGATCGCCGACATCTCAGTGGAATGTGTTGTTTCTGGACCAAACCCGACAGATCTACGACGATAGCTGCAGCAGCGGAGCTCCGACATTCAGCAAGTCGTCCTCCGCACCCAGGGCAAGCAACAAGCTGCGGCACCAATTCTTGAGCTTTGCTTTCCCGGCCGAAAACAGCAACCCTTTGGTTGAAGAGCGGTTCTAATCTGGTCGCCAAATGATGGACTAGTTCTGGCGAAATTTGCGCAGCCGGGTCAGCGTCACAAATGGCTTGCGCAAGGACCCCATGGCACTGATGCTGTGGATTCGTCATTGCAGCTGCATGAAAAAAAAGAAAATGCTAGATTGATGTTTGCTGATAGCAGGGTGGCTTGCGGGTCTCGCGCTTGCAATCGGCAACTTGCATACTTGCATGCTGGTTCAAAAGCAGAAGCACGGTAGATGTTTGCAAGTCATGTTTTCGACCGCGGTTGCAATCATGCGCCGATGAAAGAAATCAAGAGACAAGGCCAGCAGCTTGAGGATGAAAGAAGACGATGCGGCCAAGTGAAAAGGCTCATACCATGGGCGACACAGGCAGCAAGCTGTTGGCAAAGCGATTGACTTCATTAGTACAGCCAGACGAAACTCCCACCGCGCCTCCAAATGCCAAGCGGCGAAGCAGCAAGGCGAAGCCTGACCAAGGACGCATTGAGTGTCCCGGGCTGAAACAGTAGTAGCAGCAAAAACAACAAGAACAACAACCAAAACACCCATCACCACCACCATTATTATCTCCGCTGGTCCGCTGGCCTGTTGGTGGCGCAGGCAATTGGTGGGAAGGGTGGGACTCTATGTCAAGTGCTGGCGCCCGCTGGTCCGCTTAGCCGCTATCCGCTGGTCGTTGCCTGCACTGCTGGTCCGCTCGTCCGCTGGTCGCTGCTCCGCTGGTCCGCCGAAGCTGGTTCGCCAGCCTGCTGGTCCGCCGGTCCGCTGGTCCGCCGGTCCGCGGGTCCTCCGGTCCGCCCCAGTCCGCCGGTCCGCTGGTCCGCCGGTCCGCTGGTCCGCTGGTCCGCTGGTCCGCCGGTTCGCCGGTTCGCCAGTCGCTGGTCCGCTGGTCCGCCGGTCCGCCGGTCCGCTGGTCCGCTGGTCCGCCGGTCCGCCGGTCCGCCGGTTCGCCGGTCCGCGGGTCCGCTGGTCCGCTGGTCCGCTGGTCGCTGGTCCGCCGGTTCGCCGGTCCGCTGGTCCGCTGGTCCGCTGGTCCGCCGGTCCGCTGGTCCGCTGGTGCGCCGGTCCGCTGGTCGGCTTGGACGGTAAGGGGATCGTGAGTGGAAATCTCAGCGATTGCAGATCGAGCTAGGTTCTGTTTTCCCTTGCCCCAAGCGGTTCTCTATTGTTCAGCTTTGAAAGGTCACCGCAACTTATCCAAACCTTGCAGGAAAGATGGAATCAAGGCATTCCATGACACAAGCAGTTGGGATAATTTGCTGCAGCGTGCTCTCAGTGAGGTTGGCTTCTGTCCGGTCGATTTCCAGGGCCTTCGCTTCAAAGTTTGTTGAGGGCCAAGGCAAAGCAACTTTTCAACATCTTGAAGTTTTGGCCGCTCTAACCATGACTATGAACTAATTAATAGAGCTCGATCTGGTATCGATGGCGATATGATAACGAGAAAGTTGCAATTTGCGCGCAGTGGCATCATGTATCATCTAATAGCCTCTGGTGATTGCGACATCCTCTGTGTACAGAAAGTAAGTACTGGCGCCCTGCAACTCCACACTGGAGATCTGAAACAGAATGATCCCATGGTTTCTCAAACAAACAGCAATAAGTATGCAAAAGGTATCAAAAGGTACCCAAAGTCCAAAAAGGTGATTGTTATACAAAAAAAGGCTACTTCAACAAAAATCTTCTTTTTTTATGAAATGACATTTTTGTTGGCATACTTTAGGTTTACTAGGCATAAGTGCTCCTGATCTACTTTCTGTTGTGTTTGTGTGTCTGGCGGGCGACCTTGCACATTTTAGTTTCTGCACCTGTTTCTTGCTGACAGGTTCAAAACACATTAAGCAACAAGACTGAAGGAATGTAGCCGACGTATCTTAGCCGGCGAGCCTTATACGCGCACACACTTATGGATATGCGTACTGGCTTGACAGCGGTGCCACACGCCGGCCTAAGTAAAAACCAAAGAAACCAGGACAGGTAAAGTATGGGGATCCAAACCTCTCAAAGCCTACGAGGCCTCCAACTCCAAATCGACACATCCAAAGCGACAATGCACATCTGCCGATGAAGAACCGACGCAACGGCTGGACATCTTGTTCTAGTTACAAGCAGGGCCCACGAGGAAATGTCGCAAGTAAAACTGCAGGTACGTCTGGCTGATCAGGCCAGATATCCGCATGTACTGTGGCCGCTTCGTTGGACCATCGCTCACAGCGCATGGATGGGCTTAAAACAAAACACTAGACAATTCAAAAGAATCCCTGTGACTACAAGGGGCACACACACACACACACACGCCTCCCCGAGGAGAGGCGTAAAGCTAAGGTGAGGGCAAATGTGCACCTGCGCGCGCACAACAGACAAAAGAATGAAGACATGACAGGAGGACGAGACGGGACAAAGGTGCGTGTGGTTGAACCAAGTGCACAGGGACACCCGATGAAGCCCACCTCATTGTAAAGACCTGGGCGACCTGAAACCTGTGTTTAAATGTATGTAGAAGTGCACATACACACTAAGGCCGGGACTAATGTGCGGATCATCGCTCACAGCACATGGATGGTCCCCCTGCTTAAAACAAACAATAGACAATTCAAAAGAATCCTTGTGACTACCAGGGGCACACACACATGCAACAGCATAACATGCCATCAAGTGCGGGAACTTGTCAGTGGACACGGCATGTGTTTGTACAAGTGTCTCGGCAAAGCCATGCCGATTCTCACAACCCTGAATCGATGAGCAGCGTTGGGCAAAGAAGGCAGCCGCTCATGTACATGGGAAACTCAGAAACAGTGAGAGCTTGGCAAAAACTTGGAAGCAGCAGTTGTAAGCAGCAGTTGCATTTGGTAGAAGAAAAATCATGACATGTTATGTAAGGGGCTCTAGTAAGCAGAGTGGTCTGTGCATTTTCCATTGCGGCGAGACACGCGCCGCTTGACTTTTGCTGGGGTACGTTTCTGCCTACTAGCCGGAGGTCAACCTACATAGTGGATCATAGTGGAAGGTTCCAGGTTTTCCAAAACCTTCTGGACCGTCGGGGGGGTGCCCTCCCTCAAACAATCATTGAAGCTGAGCAGGCCCCCACGTGTAGAGGAACATGATCTTCCAGGGCCTATGTTCCATGATTATTTCAGGATGTGTATTCTTGGTATGTTGGCATCAAGGACCCCAAAACCGTTCGGAACCTGCAGCCCAGAAAAGGCAAAAACCCAGGCCAGGCTTCAAACTTCAAACCAAGCCCAGTGGTAGCGTACAAAACAAAACCATCACATAGCTTCCATGAAGCACCTAAAAAGACTGCGAGCTCACGGAGCGCCAAGATTTGTTTGTATGCAAAAATTTCCAGTGGTCATTACATTGTGGGTACTTAACACTGCCCCTCCCAACCGAATGCTTCCCCTTCCAACCGCCAGAAGCGTGCTGGCTGAGCCATTGCTCCCAGTAGACCTGATGGTCGGACCAGCCGTGTGCGATGGAGCTTGAGAGCCTTGGTACCTAGGTAACTAGTGACCCTGCATTGGTGTGGGTCTCCAAGTGATTTCCTCCAAGATCGGTCGCCTCATGGGGCAAAACGGTCTATTTGGGAAACATCATTGTAACATAGTGGACTAGATAGTCGAAATATGCGGGGGGATGAAGCAAGTTTTGTCAATCCATATGGTCCATACTATATGATGGTCTACATGATCTTCCTTCTGGGTACATGAAAAGCACTGGCTGGATTTGTCGCGGAAATGGGGCCTACCATCTGCGGCCCTGGGGTGGATGGGGGCCCAGAATAATTTACTAAATATTAAGGATTCAGGGGTGGTGGACCTACACCTGGTCAAAAATTTATCCATATGATTATGTGAACACCTTTCAGGAATAATTTACAGCATTTTACAGCCATGTCTGCCTTGCGGTCTAGAAGTGATCTTACACGCGTTCCAAAACATAGGTTCAGTTTCACTACAGTGGTCTTCTGCGTTTTGATTCCTCCTCGTTTCCGGTCGCATCAGGTGACCCAACACACGGCAAAACGGCTGAACTTTTCAGATCAGCAACCCCCCACGTGACTTCCAGGACGGCGAGCCCACGCCAGAAGCCAGACCCAGAAACCAAACTTGGGAGTAGACACAGAGCAGGGACCGTCAAATCAGGGGTGTCAGGTCATAGGCGACCCAACCAAATCTTTGTTGCGGACTCCGAAAACTGGTCTCACGAGAAAAGAGAGCTAGACTTAAATCTGCTGTCTAGAAGCCTGTGACTTCCAGGACGGCAAGTTCACGCCAGAAGCCAGAAACCAAACTTGGGAACTGTCAGATCAGGGCCTTCCAACTGCTAAATTATTCCAGGGTCTATCACATCAAACCCACCCCTGGAATTATTTCAGTCCACACAGCAAGCAAAGAGAGCCACCAACGACAAAAATAATCCCAGCGGTGGGTTTGATGTGATCGACCCTGGAATAGTTTGGCAGTTAGCTGTCTAGAAGGCAAGCTTGTCCTGTTGGGGCACAAATCTTAGAGGTTCCTCAAATCTGCAGCTTCAGGTCACACATCTCACATCATCTCACAGCTTCTGAATCCACAACCACGGTGTCTTTTAGGGCGCCTGACCCAGGACCTGTGACCTGACAGTTTCTTATTCCCTGGTCTGGGGTCTACTTCCAAGTTTTGGTGAGCACGGTGAGACCAGGTCAGGAATTTAGTGACGAATTTGGTATGGTTTCTTTCCTTGACTAAAATAATTCCAGGGGTGGGTTTGATGTGATAGACTGTGGAATAATTTAGCGTTTAGCTGTCTACTGAGCAGAGACATACAAGAGGAGGCAAACTTGCCATTTTGGGGCACATACCTTACACAGTCTACAGCTTCAGGTCACACATCTCACAGCTTCAGAGTCCACAAGAAAGATGTGGCTGGGGCGCCTATGACCTAGGAGCCCTGATCTGACAGTTCCCAAGTTTGGTTTCTGGCTTCTGGCGTGAACTCGCCGTCCTGGAAGTCACAGGCTTCTAGACAGCAGATTTAAGTCTAGGGCGGCTTTGATGTGATCACCCCTACCCAATGGGGAGCATTTGACCCGAGATGGCCCAAGCCACGTTTTTCGCAGTTCCACAG